CCAATTCCACTGGCATCTGAAAGTACTTTCCCATCCAAAGCAATATGAAGCCATTGTCAATGTCAGTGTCACCAGTTTCGTTCTTGTTTTCTGGTCGGATGCCCAACAACAGGTACAGTATGGATCGGCGAATGCGGTAGTCGAAACTAGCAGGGAATACAAACAAGAGAACACCACCACCGGCATGGCGCCATTGGATTTCATCTGTAAAAAAGGTCAGATATGGAAGACATACTGCCATAATCAGTCCCACAATGACCGCTAGAACCATTTTGATGGTTTCATGTTGCGATTTGGTGAACTCGTAGAGTGAAGTATTTGGGTTGACTCGTTCTTCTCGCTTCATGTGTATCATTAGACAGGTTACTTGATAGATTGCCAAGGCGCTGGTGAAAATCTGAACGGCAAGGAACTCTTCTGTGGTTGCCACGAATATGGCCAAGAAGAGATTGACAATCCGTATGAGACTGGTGACCAATGCCGACAGCGTACTAAATCCAGCACAAAGGCAATATCGCTGTTGGTGCAAGATGATGTCACCCTCGCGGCGACTGCATAGATCATGACTGTGCGTTGAGCTCATCATGTTTTTCCTTGAATCTTTCTTGTCGTCGAAACTGTTTGTTGTTGGTCAATGTTGGTTTATCTGATTTTCTGATTTTGTGACCTTCTCAAGCGGGCAACTTACCTCTCTTTTTGATCGCCGTTTCGTTAAGTAAAGTAAACTGAGTGAAAAAGATTTATTGCGGGAACCGCTTTTCCCTTGGCAGTGTTGAGCAGAAGGTAATTTGAATAGTTGCGAAAGTTTGACAAGTGAAGATGACTAATTCAAGTCATAGAAGTATACCGTGAAATAATAAATGTTGCACGTTTCCACTATAAAAGTGAAAGCAGGAAAAAGATTTGTCACGAGAAATGCTTTCCCTTGGCATTGTCGAGCAGAAGTCAAAAGTCTTTCTCATCCGAGTCTCATTGCTTGTGGGGAACAGAAAGTCAGTAGTAGTATCCTAATTTAGATACATTCTAGCCGAAGTTTTTTATCTATGTCACAAGACAAATATTAATCTTAGTTCTTCATCTACTGTACTGCACTCATGTAGCATAGATGCTCCAGGAATCTGTGCCTCCACACGGTCCACCACAATCTTTATCGCAAGTGACAGCTGTACCAGCTGCTTGGTAACCATCACCGCAGTAGCATTTGTTTTTATTATGCAGTCCTGCATACGTCTTTCCTAGAGAAGTGCAATGATCGATGCAACGCCCCATCCAAACCGGATTCAAAGATGTCACAATCATCGCAGGATCTTCTTGCCAGCAACCAAGTACTCCAAGTGGAGCCACAGAAGGGACAGGCGTATAATCGCCGTCATGACCATCAATTCCAGTCGGATACACAGACATGGCCCAGTCGCCACCACATGGCATTCCATCAGCAACACAATTTCTATTGCACCTTGAATCTTCAATCTTTCCATAAAGCATGTAATCATTGTCGCAAAAGCAATCGCGTCGCCCCTCCAGTCCAGCATAACTGAAACCGGCTTCAAAACATCTCTGGAGACATTGTTGCACGGTCATTGTACTCGATGTTAGTCTTTCGGTCCCAACCATGGCTCGCTGCTGAGCATCAGCAAAACAGCCAATTGCACTGGAGTCAAAGTAAGTTATCGATAGCTGCCCTCCACACGTCAATTCGAAGTCGTCTGCAACGGTTCCTATAAACAACTTTGAATCATCGGTAAAAGGACCAGGAATTGAAAAAGAGAAGCCTCCTGCTGGATTGCTGTTGCAGTATGATTCAAAGCTTGAGAAGGGTATTGTGAAAAGGCACTCCGCTGTGCACCCAGGCTCGGCAAAACTGACGATGCCAATATCCGTAGTTGCAGCAGCTCGACATGAGAACCTCTGCACTTCTGTACTGACTTCACCTGGGCTAACTTGATTGTAAGCGCCGTCTCCTTCATCAAAGAGCGGGACAATCTTCGTGTCACTTGTGCACACAGAAGGTGGAATGGAAGGCACCAATGTCGGTTTTGTAGATGGATCGAGACTTGGACCATTGCTTGGGGTCAAACTTGGTGTGAAGGATGGATTTTCAGTTGGAATACGAGAGGGCATGATTGTTGGAATATCTGACGGTAGCTTTGAAGGTAACTGTGTTGGATCAGCCGTCGGCACGGGTGTTGGACTAGCTGTGGGACTGGGCGTGATCATGCCTGTCGGCAAAGGTGTAGACCCTTGAATGGGCATAACTGTCGGCCCTGGTGTTGGTCTACCTGTTGGATTGCTTGTGGGTCTAGCCGTTTCTTGGAGCGATGGGCTAGGCGTCGGCTGAGGAGTTCTGACAGGGGCAGGCTGAAGAGTGATATCAGATTGATAATCCAGTACTGGGTTTGATGTCGGAACAGACACTGGCGTGGATATTGGGTCCAGTGTTTCCCGTATTGTTGGCGTTGGCGTTGGTGCTGGGTTACTTGTAGTAGTGATAGGTTCGACTGTGGGTCCAGAGCTGCCAGGCATTGGCGAAGGAGGTCCGAAGGTGTTGTTTGGAGCACTCATGCTTGGACTCCATGTTGGAGTTTCACTTGTGTTGCTGATGGAGTTAGTCGAAGGAACAATCAGCGAAACGCTGGCAGTCTCAACACTTGGCGAGAGTTCAAGGCTCTTCTTCAAATCTTTGCCCAAAAGAAGATCATTCATTATCTCCACAGCAACACTACCATCCAAGTTGCGCCGAAGATAAATCTTGATTGTCAACACAACCTCCACACAATTCGGGTTCCCTCGGAAGAAACAAGGGGCCGTCTGGTTGCTGACAGAATCAACCACGCCGTTTCCGATAATGTTTCCAGCACATTCGTCACACCCAATCAGTAAGGGCATGAGTGATAGTTGGATCTGTTGCTTTAACAGTGTAACAAGAAAGCTAGCGTCTCTCTCACTGTCCGTGGTAAGCTCAACGTGCATGTCGATAAACTTCGTGATCATATCAGCTTGACCAGTCACTTCCGTACCATTTGCAACTGAAGCACAATCGTCTGCCGTTGGCGGATCAAACCTAATATCTGCGAGCAGTTCTGAATCTTCGCCACTCTGATCAGGAGTAACGGGAAGTAATCCATCATTCTCTTCGCCACCAATCATTGTGAAATATCCGATTATACCACTAACGAGCACAAGCAAGCAACAACAAAATGTATATCCAATGAGTGCTCTCCTCTTTTTGCCATTCCTCGCATCATTTCCGGCTTTTGATTTTCTTGTTTGTGGGACTCCTACCACAACAATGGAAGATTCACGACTCGCATATTCCGCAAACGCCTCCGTGCGGCCCTGATCTCTGGCTGTGGCAATTTCTTCGGTCAAGTCCGGTGCCGCTTCCGCTCTCACCATGGCGCTTCGGGTGGATAAAGAAAGAGATCCGCCACGACTATAGGACTCGGAGCGAGTGGAGGCCGTAAGAGCTTCTCCTTCGTCCATCGCAAATGAGTGTTCACTGCTCGATACTGACGAACTCATTGATAGCGCCCAGGGAGTGGAATGCGTGCTGGACATCATCCGAGTAGTGGAATGAGTGCTGATTCGATAGGCACCTGGTGTCTCAACCTCTAAGTCTTCTTCGGCTACATCTTTATCACTGCTCGATCTACCGCATTGTTCGCGCTGGGCACCACTATCACGGCTTCTCGAGGAGCTTGTCCAATCGGATGACGAAGATACGGAAGATGGTCGTCTTGATGACGACAATGACCGGCGCGACGATGGATGCGATGATTGGTGGGAGTGGCGTCGGCGATGCTGCCCGGACGAAGTAGAAGAACGATGGCGTCTCTCGCCCACTACCGTGTCCTTGGATGACTCGTCATCATTATTGCGGTGGGAAGAGTCTCTGCGAGATGATGAGGAAGACGATCGCCTGGAACTCATTTTTCTTCTTGGCCCTTCTTCCACACTCTCTTCTTTTGGCCTTTCGTCAAAAGCAATGGTTTGATCTTCCTTGGTTGCTCCGCTGGTCTTTGATGGTCGATGGGATGATAATGAACTACTTCGGTTTGAAGTTGGTCTTCCTGGTATGTCTCTCGAAGTTTTTTCTTGGTTGGTTTCTTCCCGGCCATTCATTTCGTCTTTTGGTTCTCCTAGAAATGAAGATTGGGACCTTCTTGATCGTTGTTTCCTTTTGCCGCTTTCTCTTTGATTTTCAACTTCTGATTCAGTCCTATCGTCACCTCTGTTTGAATGAGACCTTCGTTTCCTCCCGCTTCTATGACTGGATCTAGAAATGTTTCTAATATTATTGTCACGTGTCCTCGAGCTTCGTTTTGGATTTCCCCCTGTAATATCAGTGTCATCTTCGTTGATTCTTTCCCTTGCTTGCAGCTGATTATTATTGCTTGCTTCTGAGGTTCCAATGGACTGGCTTCCGCTAGCCCTTCGTCGGGGAACGGTGGGAGGGTTGTCTTCGCGCTCAACACCAAACGTAGAGCCCTCGCTGATGCTATAAAGCGAGGACATGGTACTCACAACCGATGGCATGATGATTATTCGCAATGCAATTCGTGATTTTTACAATGATTGATTCGTTTTGAAACGTTTCGCAACCGGCGGAAAAAGAGACATTAGTTAATATTTGGTTCGCGTTTCTGCGAGCTTACGACTAAGCCCTAATTAGCCTCCACTCTTTATTTATTTTCGCCCAGTCCTTTTATATATATGGAAAATGCCTCAAATTCCATCTCCGAAATGCTCTACTTAAGGGTACACATGCAGTGCACGATGGGTTCGTTTTGAGAGGGTACGTTTCGAAATTAGCGGATCCGCATTCTTCTTTTTTTTATTAAAAAAATTTCGTGTTTGCTATTAAATATGTACGTGTACCGATACCGGTTCGTACGGGAAAATGATGCTTTATCCTGTATGCAGTATGACTACTCTCTACCGGCAAATACTCAGGGGTCATTATTTTATATATATCATATATTCAATATACCGGTATATCGTCTTCATCATGCATTGGCATAATTCATCTACAGTACAAGTGTACAAACATAGAGGTACCAGGTACGTGTACTGGTACCGGTAATATATACGCAACTCCAAAAGCCAAAAACCGTGCCGATTCAGAACTAATAAAGTACCATGAAATCAACATCATCAAATTATTCGTACAGTACAATGCCGGATACATGCAAGGTCAATAAAAGAGAATTGTCGGTGACGGACTGTTGTACTTCTGTGAAGAAGACGGCGTTGAGAATGGATTCCATGCTCGTGATGAGAATGGATGGTATTTCATTCAATGACGATGAGTCTACTGGATGGGTCCTCGTTTCACCCACAGCAATGGGAAACGACGAATGTATGCTCATTCCAACAGAGTGGAAAGATTTTTTATATTTGGAGGGAAGATGGCCTTCCTTTTCATGGACAGGCTCTCAGCGTCAGATACCATGAATTGAGAGAGCGACGATGAATGCGATATTTTCCAGCTTTTCAAAAAGGACTATATATGGTGTTGTACACTACAGGCCCATCAACCACATCGAAGCATACCTACAGTATATAGATTATTAGAGACAATATGAGTTTATTGAAGACAAAATTATGTTAGCCAACGTCTATCAGATCAAAAGCGATCATCTTGGGCATTGCAAAGTTTCGCAAACAAGGTGAAATGAAATAGCTTACACTACTACTAAAATAGTAAATATTTGGATTGGCTGATGTTTTATTATTTGCATCCATTGCTGTTATTTTTTAAAATTTTTATAGTTCATCTTCGAACTTATTGTTCCCATTCAAAGTTTGTATCATTGAAGGTCTGACGACTTTTGAGAGTCGTCATGAATAGTATTTCGAGC